TTTTTTCCGCTCTTTGGGAGTGAATTTTCGCTTACGCTTTTGATTTCGATTGTTGGCTGGTCTTGGCTAATTTTGTTATCGAACACAACTATATTCAAACACATTTTTCACCAAAACAAATATTGTTTATTAATTTCATATTAAAACAATGACACTTTAACGCCAAATTCGTTGGAAAAAATTGGATACGGATGAAGGTTAAATTTAAATGCCCAAACTTTATTACCCAGAGGCTCAGTGCTGAACCTTTTTTTTGTGCTGATTGCGATCACAACCGCACTTCAGCTTCAGCTCATACTTGTGGAACATACATATAACATTCTCAATAATAATTTATCTTCTGCCTTCTTCCAGCACAACCACCTGGCATACCAGAGATTTGCAAAAAGTCACTTAACTCATGCCCCGTCGACGGTGGCCTCGAACTTTTCATTATCGGCAAAAACTTTCTCAAAGATACGCATGTTTTGTTTCAAGAAACCTTCGAGAATGGACCGCCAAGTGATGCTGCAACAGAGCTAGCCGTACGCCAGCATTTAGGTGGCGCTTTATGGGAACAAACAGTGCTACCTGATAAGGAATATTTGCAACAAGTAAGATATGCAGTGGCTTTGTGGAGATATCGCATGAATATTAACGACTAATTTACTTTTTTTTTCAGACGCACCTTATATGTGTTGTACCGCCTTACATTCATCAGAATATACTCAAGCCGATTACTGTGCAGTTGGTAATTATTTCCAGTGGCAAAAAGAGTGAGCCTCACACATTCGTTTACACGCCGAAGGGCAGTTATTCGACCTTGGCAGCTGCTACGACACTAAGTACTGGCTTACATAGTAGCTTATCAGTGGCACAAGGTATTTATTTGTTTATTTTACATTTAGATTTTAAAATGAAAATTTATTTAAAAAGAAAAAACCGAAGTTCAAATTAAAGCTTAGTAAAGTCGCAAGCTTTTTAGGGCAACGAGAGAATGTATTAAGCGAAAAGGCAAATTGGTAGGTCAGGTAGGCTAGCAGGTAGGCAGAATGTAGAAAGCATTTTTTTTTGAATAGACAATAGAGCGACAAAAAATTGCAAGTCAATAAAGTTTATTTTAGCATTAACATTAGTAAAACTTCACTGGCGCATACCGAACTATATGCATATTAGGTAATATTTATTTCGTTTTGAATGCTAGGTTAGTGATGCAGATAGTAGAAACTAAGGGCAGTATGCAAAGAAGTAGATACTTATTTAAAAAGAAAACAGTTGTCACAACCTAACCGTTGCAGTACAGAGCTGATAATAGCAGCTTAATTTTTTTTTAGGTAGCGTAAAATTTACTGCGATATTTCATGAATACATATATGGCAATAATTTTTATCGCTTACATATTTAATTTGTAATTTTAGAAACAAAAAATCAGAATCTCTTTTTAGGTGAAAGCGGATTTTTTAATATGTATTATTAAATTCTTATATTTTCGAATAGCAAGTTTTGAAACGTAAAAGAAAAAGGTAATACCTAGAACTGCAATAGACGCAAAATCTTGAAGAATCATTATTAATACAGTCATGTGAAGAAAATTAAGACCGCAAAAAAGGATATCTTTATATCGACTGCTATGCATCTGCACCTAATCCACAGCCTTGAAGACATTAAATAATTTTTTTGGGTAATTTAAATACTAGACATTAATTTATGGCTATTCAAAAGACGCCATCATTTTTGGTAATTTGAAAAGTTAATTTTAAGTGGATAAAACCTTTTGCCTTTGAAAATGTAATATAAAATATCTACACTAAAAAGTAGACAATGGGTATTGAACTGTAAAAAGTGGAAATGTGAACGGGTTCATTTAAATGAATGTCACCTTTTTACCATAATTTTGCTGCTCGATATTTTTTCCGCTTTCAAATGCAAAAGATTATACCCACTTTTCCCCATTAATTTTAAATGTCCAAATGCAACAAAAATGTATGTCCAATTTTTTAAATGAAAAAAAAAAATGTATGCCCAGTTTTATAATACATTTGAAGCATACATACATATGTACGCCAATGAAAATAGTTGTGGTTAAATCGATTGATCTACTATAAATTGATTCCATCTACCAATTTTTCTCGCATTTTTTAACTTTTGCTATAAAGTTGTGGTTCTAAGAGTTTTGAGATTTTTAAGCTGGCTGTTGAAAACTTTCTTGTTAGCTATATCCTTCATCTTTTACACATGACTATATTATTGTTATTATACACACATTTGCAAAACACAAAAAATTAATATCTCAAAAAACCCTCAACTTGAAATATCGCATAAATTTTACTTAATTTCTAAGTGCGACGACGAAAATTAATTTTAAGTGCGCAAACTATATAATAGTAAAATTACTATTTACATATTTTAAAAATTAAGTAACAACAAAACAATCTGCGATTCCGTCAAGAAGCTTTTGCAAAAAAAAATAAAAATAGTTATACACTTTTATTTTCCGGATTTTCCACGTACATACATATCTTCCGCTGAGGACATGCTATATGTAAACTACCACAGAAGCAACTTCAAAGCTAACCAAAGCAAGCAACGCAGTGCAGAAGAAAGAAAAAAAATATTTTTTTTTTAAGTTTCTCTACAACTTTAAATCACTGCTACAACGTCAACGCAGCAGGCCGCCACCGCCATCGCCGAATTTAATCCAGACAACTTTGAGGTGTGATTGTGATTGGATTCGTTAATAAATGTCTTGTACTTCATATATATATATATATATATATATATTTGTGTAGGAGCCGTTTTATTGCCGATTCCATATAATCAGCCTCATTGCGTACGTCGTAAATTAGAGTAAAACGCACGACTCGACATCATTGGCAGTGACTATAGTCGTGCTGAAATAAGTAGACGACGAAAACTGTCGAAAACTATCCAGTGCTGCCAAGTTTTCCCATTTTAGTACACTAGTCGAATCGAATTTTTAGGCAATGCCATGTACTTTTCGATACGACTCCACTCTCGGAAAACGACTTCCACTCAACACGACACACGCAATGAGGCTGAATATTCTTTTCGTTAAAAGTAGCGGTTGGTTTAATATTTTCTTTGTTAGTTTCGGTAGTCGGTAGTCGTTTTACTCAAGTATCGAATTCCTTGATTTTGTTATGTTGCACAATCGGAAAACTGTATTTTGCTAACGGTTGAGAAAAAGCCGAAGTGCTGTTCACTCTCCAACGGAGTTTGCTGGTGTGCATGATTGGCGATTGAATGAATGGATCAGCAGAGTTTTCTTGGTTACATTTGGCATGCGGTAGACCGCCAACTATACAGCATCTAAAAAATTACAAAAAAAAAAAACCATTACATTTTATTTTTTATTCTACACCCCAAATTTATAATGACTTCACAGCAGTCAGCTAGATGAGCCTTTAAAACAACTACCAGCTCAGTTTCCGACAACTACTTGATTTGCAGTTGATAACATCTGTAGCTCTGTTTAAAAAGTATACAACTTGAAAATTTAGAAGAAAACAACGCTAACAAATTGGATATTCAATGAACGAAGGCTTCATTTTTCAACAAGCAAAAACGTCGATAATTAAACTTTATTTACATACATACATATATATGTATGTATTTTGAAAATAAGACCTGCATTTTATTTGATAGGCAGCTTTTCAACGTATGTTTATACAGTACATACTCGGTTTTTACTTGATTGCTTTTGTGATTAGGATGTGTAATCACAAAAAAAAAAGATAAATACTATTCCAAAATGTCACGAGATCAAAAACGTTAAACCTTGAAAATATGGTTAAACGGATTAAAGAGTGTATGTCACAAAAAAAGTCCTCTGTGTTCTAAATATTTGAGGCCTAAAGAAAAAAATAAAGAATATTTAAAAAAAAAAACTTACAATAAAAACAATAATCAGCAAATCACAAATAATGAGCTAAGTCATTAACTCATCAACAGGATTTTGTTCAACACTAATCACAAAATATTTTTACTTTATTTTCCCCTTCTCTTAGCAATTTAGGTAAAATTGTGGTTGATATCAAATGAATTCAAAAGCGATATTCTATTCATACCTATAATGAGAATGCATAATAGTACTTCAAGCTGTTTCAATGTTGACAATTGCAAATGTTGCGCGCGTCGAACGATGCCATAACCATAAACCAAACAAAAAAACAAAAACTTCGTTACTTTGCAAATGCACAAATGCGAAACACTTGAACGCCTTGAATGAAATATACGCGTAAACCTAGAATAAAAAAAAAAAACAAATCAAAATCCAAAACATAAAATATTTAATTGTAAAAGAGATCTAACGAAAGAACGGCTCTGTAGTCAGTCGCGCTGTTTATGTTGCTGTTGCGGTCGTCAAAGTGACTTTTTCTCCAACACATATTGCCGCCTGCACCAACTGCATACATAACCAACATACAGACACTATTTGTTGCAACGGGATGCATGCTTGCAGTTGTGGTCGTTAAGAGAAATGCTGAAGTGGCTAGGAAGGAAGTTGCACCTCCTATTGCACAAGCTAAGCGAACTATTTAAAACGCAAGCAAAGGAATAGACAACATGTACACTTATGGACAAAAATAAAACAAAAAAAAAGTAGAATCATGTAAAGGGAAACGAGAAGGAGTCATACTATATTCAGCCTACCAACATTTCATTGCCATCCGCGTTACACCACTTCACTTCACAAGTTGTAGCTGCCTGCTGTGCCGCCAAAAGCCGTCACCATCCACCCAGCAAGTTTCGTCTAAACAGGTCTCGTCTCGTCTCGCCTTGCCTAGCTCATCTCGTTACACCTGCTGCATCTGCTTCATCAACTGTACATTAGGGTACTGGTTTATAGAACAAAACAAACAATATTTCAAACAAAATTTTTTCCTAAAGCCATTTTTTTACTTCATTATTTTCTTAAACTAGAATACATAACTTAGTATTCGAATCTGTCTTTTTTTAATATATTTAAGCCACTTGTCTCCTAAATAGTACATACTAAAATACCCTACTTGCATATTATTGTTACTCTAATAGAAACATACTACTCACTCCTTTTTTTGTAATATCTTTTTCACAAATTCATATTTTACCATTGCAGTTTCTTTTTTTGCGCGTTAAAATTTTAATTTCAAAGCAATTGTTATAGAATCATACTATAGTACATCATTGAGAGCATTCATTTATAATTTAACAACTCTTTCCAATTAAATTTTGGTATTACAAAATATAAAAAAAAAACTATAATTTCTAAAGCCAAAGATTTTAAATGGCAAAATATTATGCCATTCAAAAAATGCCAAGCGTAAAAGCATTTAATTGTTATTTTTATTTACGCTATGATGAAAGTTGCTTAATGCTATTTTTGTCATCTAAAGCCTAGTGGAAATCTGGCATAACCGTTGAAAAAATTGAGAAAAAGTTTAAGAAATTTGTATTTACTGTAAAAGTTCAAATTAGAAATTTTTGAAATGAAACACAAAATTATTATGTAAATATCGAGCCCCAACCTCCAAAAAGATGTAAGCGACAGTTTTTTATTCTATTTTTCAGTGCATCAAACATAAAATTTTTTTTTTTTTTTTTTCAGAAATTTAGAAAGAACAGTTTCAAATTTTGACCGTTGTACAGCTTTATTAAGCAGAATTAATTGTTTATAAAAATATTTCAAGATTCTATAACAATACATTTCATCAATATTCATCACACTTACGGTGCTCTGCAATCAGAATTTGTACAACAAAAAAATTAAATAAATAATACAAAAAATTTGAATCCAGGAATGTTTGTCAAAACTCACTTAAAGAGGCAAAAACTTTTCGAATTTTTTTTTTAGCAAGTATGTACATTTTTTGACCAGTAATTTTTACCGAGTACATTTGTTTTACAAAATTTTTCTCGTGAGCTATTTTTGTATTATTGTCTTAAGGCAGTCTCACACGATTGAGCATTTGCCCAAAATTGGGTGCGAATTGTATCCCAATCATGTGAATACACAAATATTTTTCTTTTCTTTATCGCAATCACGAAAAACAATTTGTTCAAATTTTTCCATAGAAGTTCGCTGTAATGTACCAATCGTGTGACTACAAAAAAAATTTTATCCCATATATATATATATATATTATGGTTGTCAACATTGACATCGACAATTTCGATGTTGGCGAATTGGTATCGACATTGCCAACATCCATAACTACACAGCCACACAAAAAATTGTCGGGGTTCTGGTATCAGAACATCCATTCCTTATGTATTAGTAGTGAAGTCCATTTAGCTCCATCACGTCAGGATATTTTCCTATCCCCAAAAAGCGTGGCGGATATTATGTGACAGGAATTTCAGTTAAAATGTTTTAAACTATTGAAAAAGATCATAGCCACAAAATAAAGATTAAATTTAACAAAAAATAATAAAAATCCAAATTTAACGATTATTCTTAATAGGAATAACAAACAAGATATATAACGATTTTGCAATGAACCAAAAATAAAAAATCTTAATATTTATTTAAGAGTTATTTTCCGTTCCTGTTTCATGCATAAATTGCACATGAAAAACCGCAGAAAATTAAACAATAACGAATAAAATTTAAATATCGTAATTATTTCTTTTAAGTTCACACAAAGTTTTAGTAAATATCATTTTTGTGTTGACCTGATGTCGATACGAAGTACATAAATAATGTCGACAATGAATTGATATTTACATTGACGCCGACAACCATACAGGGGTGATCGCTCACTTTCATGATTATTTTTCTATTTCTATTCTGTTAACATTTTAATCATTTCATGTTCTTAATTTTTCTTAAATCCGCACGGAAAATTTTTGCTATATTTTTTTTATGACTAAGAAATCTCAGCTTTTATATATACATACATAATTTTTACGCTCACGAATGTAATTTTTCTTAGCCTAGGACTTTTATTTCCTTAAAGCGAGCACTTTTTTCTACTGAGTTAAATTTATCGACCGCTCTATTAAACTCTCGTCGCAAACATACAATGTCCTCATTGCGGAGCATTAGTTAACTTCGGCAATGGCCGAAGGCATCTAACTTTTTTGTCCATCTGTATGTACAATCAATCGGTTACGCGTCAAATTTTTGGTTTTTTCTTCTTTTAAATTTTAACCCAGATTTTCCTGCAATTATGTAAAATGTTTTCAAAGCGTTCGGCGTTATGTTAACCAACAACAACATCAACAACTTTTAAGGCTTCCACCTACAACTTCCTAAACGTTCTAAAATCGTGCTTCAACCGTATACCTACATACATATATAACACGGATGTAAATTTCGGTAATGTTACAGTACACATTCTACACCAAACTTTCTAAAAACAAAAATCCCAACTAAATATTCATCATTTCATTAACCTATAAATGCTTTTCATCCTTTGAATTTTTTTTTCTAACTTACTTATTTTACTTTCGTTATTTATGTTAACGATTTTTCCATTAACTTTAACCACACCATTAGATAGTTGCAAAAAAAAAACCATGCAATTTTCTTCCTTCCAAACAGTGACGTCTTCAATACATACATAGCTAGTTGGCAGAGCAAAAGTGCGAGCATATCAACGTTGGTCGTCCTCCCATTCACTCGTTAAAATTGGGCTTTTCTCTTCTATTCCTTTTTTTGCAGGTTTTAGGCGCATCCATGTTACGTTTTCGAATGTGAAAGAGCCCATTACAACTACAAAAGTGCTATCCACAGCAACTGTCTACCCCCCGACACATCTGCCACATAATTCTTATAGTACCATACATACATACATATTTACATACTACATAAATTTATAGTTTCCCGATAAATCCACACACATATATATCTATGCACACGAAACATAAACACAAACTTAGGTTAAGTGAAATCACCTAGAGATAGTATTTATTTGTAAATTTAAGCGGTGCGGTTATTTTTTAATTTCTTATATTTAGTTAGTTTAATTAGTTGTAAGTGCCTACAAAACCCAATATTTGTAATAGTTGCATTTAAAAAATTATAGCGCAAGGCGTAAACAATAATTCTAGAAATGGCAGGAGATCACTTTGAGATGTATGCATGTACGTATTATGTATTTTAGTTAAGGGATGTAGATCCTTGAATGACGTTGTGAAGTTAGCTTGCGTATTAAGTTTGGGAATGTGTGAGTGGAGAGCATTATATATCGGTAAAATTTGTGTTAACCCAGCAGAAAATCTGTAATTGGTTTGTGTGTGAAAAAGGACATTTCTACACGGATATTTCAGAATCAGTTCACGGCTAGTTTAGGACCATTTCGAGCTTTGTTCGGGATTATTTCAGAACCATTTGGGAGCTAGTTCGGGATCATTTCGAGACAAGTTCAGGAGGACCATTTGGAGCCTAGTCCTGGACCATTTCGATACTATGTAGTTCAGGACTATTTCGGGATACATTTGGGACTAATAAGGGAGATTTGTTCGAGATCATTTCTGGACAAGTTCACAACTTTTTCGACTACGTCGGCGCCTGTTCAAGGCTATTTCTGGACTAAGTCATCACTATTGAGGACTTGTTCGGGTTCATTTCGATCTGGGCTAGTGCAGTACTATTTCCGGAACTTTTTGAAACTAGTTCTGGGTCATTTAAGGACTAGTTCAGGAGCATTTCGGCACTAGTTCGGGATCATTTTGGGACGAGTAAGGCACATTTTCTGTGTACCGGTCCAAACAAAATGAAATGAAATGAAGTTAATGTTGAAGTACCTAATGCTTTGCAAGGTATACGTAGATGTTTTTTTTGCACGCCTCTTACCACCAGTTACACATGTTGACAGGTCCTTTATTTTGCCTAAGAAACTAGAATAAAAAAAAAAATCGTTCTCAATGATATATTCCTCCAAGAAGCCTAAGTTTAAGTTTCCGGGAACTAAAGGCTTAAGCAACACATATTTTCCTAAGTGCTTAACCGAGCTTTTCCTCAAAATAAAAAAATTATGTAGAGTGTAACCTCATTCATTGAAATCTTGTCAACTTTTT